GACCGCCAAAGAATTTTTGAGATCGAGAACTTGAGTTTTGAAAACATTTTCTACTTTTTTACTGTCGTTTTCGCATTCCCACACTGAGTCTTGTAGTAAAAGTGAAAGGTGGAGTTCCCACCGTTCAACCATATGCTCCAAAGGTGATTCAAAGTGTGTTTTTTGTGGAATCAATGAAGCATGCAGTGTGGGGAAAGCCTGTGATGACAGCCGTCTCTCCTAGCTCCTCGATCGGCGCTTGGCCCATTTCCCTTTTGCTCGGGACGTTTAGCTGAGACAGGCAGACAGGGACAAACTAGCCTGTGTAGCAAACATTTCCGTTCAGTACCGGAGCAAATCATAAAGGGAGTTTAATGTCCACATCCACCTGCAAATCTATCTTTGAGGCACCCGCAATCCAGACCCGGTCTTTAATCTGCCCGCAGAAATGTAAGTCAGATCCCTGCATAACGCTCTCAAGTCCCCGCTAAACGTGCAAAGGGACACGAAACTTACCCTCTCCCCCACAAAAAAAAATCATAAAAACTGTTTCACGTCACACAAGTCTCTCCACTACCACCCCCAAGGGATATTTTTTAAAAAGAGAGCATGTGACACATTTAACACTTTGTGTGACGTAAGGTCCTGTCAATCAAAACAAAATAAAATGTCAATTATTATAATAACCTGGGAAACTAAAAGTGCATGAATAGTTTCAACATAATGCCATGAAGAGAGTATGTGAGTTTTTGTAACATAATGTCCTGTCAATCAAAAAACGCAAAAGAAAATGTTAATAAAATATTCAGAAAAACTAAAAATGACTTCACCGAGCGTAACCTGGGACCAAGTACAGAAAAAAAAAAAGCTTACCGGGCTGTCTGCCAGGGAATTTCATTATTTGATTTTTCCCCAAGCCGCATTGAAAATATTTCACCATGCGGGTTAAGTAAACTTTTAATGATAAAAAAGTAGACTGCTGGATAGTTAGGCTGTTTGAAATCGTGCCCATGAATGACGCGCCGCCACTCCGCTTTCTTGCGCATCCGAACTATGCCAACGAAATGTCATTGCCATTGCAAGTTTCAGCACGAGCTTGCAGTATCTTTGCAAGACGGCGCCTTCGTAGGCAATCCACTCAAAACGTTTTTCTAAAAAACTAAGGCAAATCGTGATTTTCTAAAAGAAAAATCAATTGAAACGTGAAAAAATTCAAAAAGGAAACTGGTGAATCATCATTAGAGTGCATTTATTTACAAAATAAAATTCAACTTTCGCGCAAATAATAACAACTACAAAAGTTAAAGTTAAAGTCAATATTATTTACCCCAATTGTTCTTCTTCGCAGAGTTTCACTTTAAATGTGTTTACATTGAAACATCTTAAGGTAAATTTCCATTTAGTTTTACTTTTCAGAATCCACTTCAGGTCAAAAGGACCAGCATTTTCATCTCTCGAGGGACGGAACTGCATGTACGAATGTGTAACATGGAAACTCAGAACAATTTCAGTTATGTTATTAAGGGAAAAATATGTTATGGTATTTTTCCCAAATTCACGCTAAATTAGTGGCAGTCCAGACAAGTCCTTCAGTATTTGCTTGATGCACTGTAAAACCTCCTCCTGAAATTCATGAGGTTAAAATATGCGAACTGTTGGCAAATCGGGCATGATTTGCTCGACATATCCGTGTTCTGAGCTATATTGACCCACAGCATGTGTGCCGCGTAGATACCCTGCTTTACAGCTGGACAAAAGAGGCGAAATTTTGGAGGTAAGACCAGCACAGAGACTACTCAGGGTGGCATGTGCGTCCTGAATTCTTCTGTCATTAGCGTCTGGATTAATTTCGGGAATTAAATGTTGGACAATACAATGGTTTAAGGGTGCTTCTTTCTCAGGGCAACTACAGCATACAAAACAGTTTTCGCTATAAAGCTTGGCCGTTACCTCGTCAGCATAGTCTTGGGTCAAGCATACATCGGCAATACAATAATATCTTCTATGACAGAAAATGTGAGCAAATTGGTGACAACATCTCGTAACTAAAAGTTTGTGGCGCGTAGATTCTGACTCCGTGCAAATAACGCACAAGTCTTTTGACCGGACCAGCTCTGAACTTTCTTCCTCAATTACAACTAAATCAGGAAATGGAACGGTTTTTAACAATAGCCGATCTGTATATTCATTGCATGATGCGCATTTAGACTGTAGGTATTCTGATATTGCATCGTCAGAGTCGTGGAGACATTTTGATAACAAGTATAGTCTAAGGTG